GACAATATCTGTAGGGGCGTGAGAGGACGGGCACGCAAATTTGGCACTGACCCAATACACTGGGGGTTATGATGAGGACAATGTCCCATATTGCCTGGGAGTTCTTCGAGGGAAAAGGCCTCGTACAAGTGGAGGCAGAGCATGTGAGTTCTGGTCCCTCGTGCGTTGCAGATACTATCCGCTTTGGGGTTGAGGTAGCTTGTTGTCCGCCCCTCATGGTTTTGAAGGCCTTGTACAAGGTGGAGGGTACCAATATGCCTATAAGGTGGAAGTGGAAGTCCCTTCCAAGCGATGTGGGACAATGTCCTCATCAGTTTGAATGGTCCTTTGGGACTGTCCATCTATCATGACCCGAACCTACACTAGAGGTTTTGGCCATGACTGACCAGTAATCTCAAATTACCTTCGGCCTCAAAGACAAATCAGATATTTAATAATAATAACGGGGCATTGCAGAAACAATACTAAAGTACAATGATATCCATTGAGTTGAGCGGTGTGAACATGAAAATCCGTAAGTAATTAAAACTTCTACTTTCTTATAGATATGAACACATTGTTACTGTAAACATCTTAAACATTTATACAAAATATCCATACATAACAAGTTCCAAAAACAAAACAAAACTGAACAAAATACCTTGATCTAAAGGGTTGACACAACTTGGCTCCACATGAGTCCAAGATCGCCCCATCATGGAGGCATTCCAAAACGGTTTGATGGAAGCGTGGACTCTTGAGGGTGTACTACACTTGACATTCCATCTACTCACCTACATATATATAGGGAAAGGGGGTAAGCTAAAGCCCAATGAATAATACCAATATAAAGAGGTTAAATGAATGATGCTTATTGTAATATAAAATCATATGACATAGGTCTAGCAAAGGCACCATATTGGTCAAGCAAAGGGACCACTTGGGTCAACATTAGAGATATATGTGCACATATAACAAAGCGCCTCAATATTGTTTCCCCTAGGTGAGGGCCTTATTAACAAAGGGTCATGGTATTGTTTTTCCCTAGGCAAGGGCGTTATAGTGTAACATGCCCGAGGGGTACCTGTGCGCGTTAAACATTTCACACTCTCGACTTTTTTTATTTAGTCTCACGAGTGCAATATGAAACATAGATGAGAGTCCATATTTAACAACTTTTATGAAAAATCCATTTTAATACAAAATCTTTGCCAAAAATGGACTACATTAGAGTCGCCACCTAATATTTTTGAAAAAATTAGGAAACTCGTGACTCGTACCAAGGCCACTGTTCATCGTAACCAAACACGCTTGACTCGGAACCTTAGGTATGAGAGGGGAAGGTAATTAATTGATCACCCCTGCTAACCCGATTAAAGATTAGCCTCTACTAAACCATGATATGAGTTTTATTAACTTTATATGTTCATATTCTGATTATTAAATAAATCCTAAACTTTATTGGGTGAAGCATACAAGTATAAACTATGCCATCCACTTTGGAACAACTTGATTTCATGTAGTTTGAAAGAGTTTTTAAAATGTACAACTCAAAGAAATTGAGTTTACAAACATGAAAATCAATATCATTCCAAATTAAACAACACAACCTCCATCCACCGGAATTCATACAGTTATATCAGGTAAGTACATAGCCTCATGGTAGATTGCTAAACATAGTAAGGAAAACATACACATGGAGGATGCTAAAGCATAAAAACTTACATGTTTATCGACGTCCCGCGAACCGCTACAAAACAAAGTTAACGAAATATGAATGATCTTATATACAAAATCCTAATGCGATTCACACATGAGATGCAACTAAAGATTCGGCTTCTAAGATATGGGATATGAATCATTTCATGAACATGAGGTAGCACACATAATCACATAAGAATTGATTAAATCCACAAATGCAAACCTAGTCAAATCAAGATGTATGAAACACAGATGCAAAGCTTGGATAGGATTAAAAACAAAATATGATGCTTATGTAGAAATAAGGAAAGCAAGTAAAGAACATGATAAAAAGAAGTGAGGCAGGGAATTATTACAACACTTGAATAAATAATTACAAACCAAATAAAAGAGGGAGGAGAAAAATATTACAACAAAATAAAAACCTAAAAAAACACTCAAATAAAATTTTTTTTAAAAAAAAATAGAAGCTTCATGTGTCTTGAGGATTGCCAGAAACTAATATGCCCAATGTCGGAAGGCTACTCTGTTTCATTCAAAAAAAGCTAACCGGCCGGCCGTAACTAGGCCTAGCAAAACTTGTCTTCCTTGCGAAGCGAAGAAAAGGAACAAACAAGGAATATGTAGGTGGCTCAACTAACCAATTCCAGTTAGGTTACAGTAAAACTAATATGCAATTTTAAAACACGAACATGACTATAAGATTAAAAAGTGCAAGAAAATGAAAGAATTGAAAACTAATCACCTTATAACGAAACAACACGAAACGAAAGCAAGAATATGAATATGAGATATAGAATGCAAGAAAATGAAAGAATTGAAAACTAACCGCTTTCAGTTTGATTACCACAAAACAATATGAAGCAAAAGCAAAAAAATGAATTTGAAACAAAAAATGCAAGAAAATGAAAGAGTTAAAAATTCACATTCCAAAAAAAGAGTGAACTTCTTGATTTCCAAATTTCCCCTTGATCACCCTTAAGGTTGTGAATTATGTTCTCAATCCTCAATTCAAGAGGTTGGAATTTGAGATAGAATGACGGTTTTGAACAAGTGTATGGTCACTCTTTACTTGGCAAGAATACCCACAACTCTCTTGTTTTCAAGGCTTTCTTTTCTGTCAAATTCTTACCCAAATTTAGCATTCTTTCTACACTTCTCTTCTAAAAATCCCCTCAAACTCAAGACTAGAGCTCTCATTATATAGGCCAAGAGCTAAGACCCCTTTATATCTTGAAAAGTCAATTTTAAAAAGTCAAAACCTTTTCATCTTTTGAAGAGCTAATTTTGAAAAGCCAACACCCCTTCCTATTTTTGAAAAGCCAATTTTGAAAAGCCAAAACCCATTCATTTTTTGAAGAGTCAATTTTGAAAAGCCAAGACCTTTTTCTTTTTTGAAGAGCCAATTTTCCCGAAACTTCTAAAGTTTCTGGACAAGAAAAATACGGAAAAAGATTTTTGAATAGGTCTAAAATAATTTGTCCAAAACGGGTGTAATGTTGGAATTTAAGCTTAAATTTGACTTTTCTGCTGAGAAATTCATAAAATTGCACATTCTAATTTTTGTCATCGGGTGATCAAAAGAAAGTGCCCAAGTCTTAAGGCCGGTCAAAATGGGGTGTCTACAGTTGCCCCACTTTAACAGAGCTTGAAGTCATTTCATGACGTGAGTGAACGTCAAAGCCCAAAGACCCTTTTGAGAAGGTCGTAAGACTTAGGCAAACAAATAAGATGTAAATGCAGTTGGTTGAACTCGAGGGTTGCCTATGTATTCCTTTGTCAGGAATCAAACCGGCGTAGTTTAGGGAAAAGATGTAAATGATATTGAAAGTTGGACTTACACGCTTCACGTAGCCTACTTTTGTGAAAATTCATGATAATGCAATGCAATGCAACGTCATAGAATGATGATAAAAATATGAAGATGGCAAAAGGAGAGGCAAGCCTCGTGCAACTAATATAAAGCATAACATGGGGTTCATCACATATAAATGTGCTACAACACATATGATAGAGAGAGTGCATCGCATACCAATGTGCCACAACACAGATAATAGAGGAACTTTGAGATCCAAACGCATCTCACGTAAGAGGACAAATAGTGAACTCAAAATCCAAACGTGTTTCATTTAAGAGGAGCAATGTGGACCCAAAATTCAAATGCGTTTCATGCGATAGGAGAAATAGTGAACTCGAATTCGAAATGTGTTTCATGCGAGAGGAGAAAGAGTTAACAAATCCAAATGTGTTTCATGTGAGAGGAGCGAAGGTGGTATAACCAACAGGCATACCTAACCGTATTTCATACGGAAAAGAGGGGAGGTTTTAACCAGACAAACATCAAATCCTAATATGTTTCATGTGAAAGGAGAAAATGTGGTGTAACTAACATGCATACCTAACGATATTTCATGCGGAAAGGGGAAAGGTTTTAATCGAGTAAACTTCAAATCCAAACAAGTTTCAAGTGAAAGGAGAAAAGGTGGTGTAACCAACAGGCATACATAATTGTATCTCATGCGGAAATAGGGGAAGGTTTTAACTAGGCAAACTTCAAATCCTAATGTGTTTGACATGAAAGGAGAAAAAATGGTTTAACCAACAGGCATACCTAATCGTATTTCATACGGAAAGGGAGAAGGGTTTAATCGAGTAAACTTCAAATCCTCACACGTGTCACGTGAAATGAGGAAAATGGTTATAACCAAAAATTGGGACAATTGTAGTCAAGTGATGTGAATGGATAGTAGCTAAGTGATGCATCAGTGTAACAGTTGTAGCTACTTCAAGAAATTTATGAATACGAAATTTTTACAATCACAAAGCAACTACAAAAAATCACAAAGCCTCATTACACGATTTCTTATTGTGATTGCCAACCTTCCCATATCTACTACAAGTAATTTGCCTCACTTTCTCACCATTTGAACGAATCCCCTTCTTATTTGGCCTTCCTGGTTGCGTCTTAGACAAAGGAGGAAGAACAACTTCACTATCACCATCAACATTACAATCTGGTTTCCAAATTAAAGGAACATAATATATGGGAAAAGAATATGACTCTTGATAACTTTGAACATAGAAGTATTGATCAACAAATAAACTCAAATCATGTCCACTCTTTTGTATAGCACCAACTGCATGTGCACATGGAAACCCTTTCAACTGCCACTCGCCACAAGAACATATTCGTCTACTAATGTTAATTGAAACAGATGGATGTGAATGCACCTCATAGACATCATTTCCAGATGAACTAACAATCCATGGCCTCGAAGTATTAAAACCATCATGCAACTTGGACTCCATTTTAGGGCAAATCAAACCATTCCATTTATTAACAAGTTCCCTCCTCTTAGCAAATTAATTCCTGACCCACCTTCAGTCTTTAACTCAACCAAACATTGATGAAATGTTTCTTCAGTTGGAGCATATGCACATTTCCCAAATAGTGTGATCAGCTTTTTTTTCAATCCATGAAACATACCACGCAAATGATGCCTCAAGTTCATCTTCAAATGATATAAACAATAAACATGGAAAGCCATTGGGAAAACCTTTGGCAACATTTCAACTAATCCAAGGTTACGATCTGACACAAATGTAATATTTCATTTTGGTGAAACAATTCTACTCAAATGCTCCAAAAACCAGTGCCAATTATCTTGATTCTTTGAGCCAACAATTGCAAAACAAACAGGAAAGAACCCTGCATGTACAAAACAGAAAAAATGAAAATATTATATTATTCTTAGAAAATGGTAACACTTTAACATTCAAAATATCAAACACCAAAATGAATAACTGAAAAAATAAAAAATGCATATACAACAACAATATTATATAAAATTTAAAACATTCAATCATATTTCTAAACTGAGAACTTTCTCAATTTCAGAACAGAGGAAACAAATTTCTTATGTACCTTGATTTCCATCTTTTCCTGTAGCAGCAAGTAAATTTCCTCTAAATCTTTCCTTAAAAAATGTGCCATCAAGGAATAAGAGAGGTCGACAATAATCAAATCCACTAATGGAACCATGAAAAGAAACAAATAATCTCTTAAACCGTTTAGTATCGTCGTCACACTCAAACTCAATGTAACTCCCTGGATTGCAACTCTTTGCAACATCCACATGCCATCTTAACTGGTCAAATGACATTAAGCAGTCTCCAAAAATCTCACCTTTTGCTTTCTCTACCCCCAACCAAGCTTGACGATAACTAACTCTCAGCCCATACCTCAACTTAAAATCCCGAACAACATGAATTTGACGTGTCAATGGATTATCACGAACACCTTCAACAAGCAAATCAGCAACTAAATCAGAACTCATACGAGAATGAGTCATCGTACGTACTTCAGCGCCACATGTGTGGACATTGTTCAACTTCCTTATATAAAAGAACCCATTAGCATTCTCCACTCTACCATGAACATTCCACATACAACCTTTTGTCTCTCTAAACAAACATTGTGTAGTAACACGAACTTTATCATTCTTAACAAATATGAACTCAAATCCACACTCAATAGAAAACTTCGACAATGCATTACAAAATTCAATAATTCTACCTTCAAATTTCTATCCTACATGTGTAATACTAACTGCCCAACCAGCAGACAACAGTACTTTTCCCTTGTGTCGACAAAATGATGATAACATATCAACCTCTTCTTAAACCTCTAACCTCGAATTCCTTTTGGAGGATGTAGATGCTCTGTTTGACAAGTTCACAGACTTACTACTGTCATGAGACAATGTAATATCACAAACTTCAAGATCCAACATTGACTCTCTTATTCTCATTATTATGTCTTAATGATGGCTTAAAAATGCCTAGGTGTAGACACCTCATTTTTGACCGTCCTCGAGACTTGGTTGTGCTTGCAGGTACACCCAACAACTAGTTCGATTGCTCGCTGAGTACTCGACTGTCGCGGCGGAACGTCACCGGTTCGAGCTTCCCGGACCCTGTATCCTTTTTGCCTTTTTTTTTGGACCTTGACTAGGTCCTTTCAAAGTGACCTTCTTGGTGCACTGACAGCCATGGCATGGAACTGCCGGCCATTGCCTTGTTCCTGCCGGCCAATGGTGATGCCCTGCCGGCCATCAGTGAGCCACTGCTGGCCATTGATGATGGCCGACACCCCCCCTGTCTCAGCTGATTTTCCTCCAGATCTTTTGAGCCAGCTGGTTTGTTGTTTGCTCCCATCCATACACATATATGGAGGGATAAAGCCCTTGTAAAGCTTCTTGAAGAAGCTTTGGCTTTGCCTTCCTCTATACACAAACCCATCCATACACTGGCTTTGGCTTTGCCTTCCCATCCATACACAAACCCCGATTTTACCGGGGCACCCCTTTTGACCATTCAACCTAGTGCATATTCGGAATCCATAGTGACTAATTCAAACTAGGACAGGTTGCTTACCTGATATAGGTTGTTTGAAACTACTGAGTGCGTAGTGAAACCCTAGCTCCTGACAAAATAGGACAGGGAAACCCTACCCCAACATAGGGGTGTTTTGGCTCTCACTTGTTTGTTATGTGCTTTAGAGTTAGCATCTACAGGGAATGCACGTATCAGTTTGCAAATCTGAGAACCAGGCCTGAGGGCACCACTATCAGTATCTAGGAATCAGTTATATCTGCGGGTATCAGATTCAGTTTTGGGGCAGCGACTTTGCAGAACAGTGATCAGTAGTAGAGTACAGTGATTCAGAAGCCCTTGTAAAGCTTCTTGAAGAAGCTTTGGCTTTGCATTCCTCTATATAAGCAAGAGACCTCCCTCTTTGCCAGGGGTTCTGCAACTTTGGAAGAAAAAACCTCTCTTTCTCTCTATATTGTTTGTGTCTTGTGCTTTGGAGTTGGATTTCCTTGCACTTTTACACTACAACACCTAGATATACACCACCACCATTGGACAAAGCTTCTTGGGAGGTCTTCTTGAGGTCTGAAAGTGAGTTTTTACCCCCTGAAGTTGCTGGTTTCGAAGAGGGTCTTCAAGGGTAAGTATTTTCTCCATTTTTGCACTTTCTTGCACCTTGCTTTAGCCCTATTTGCATATTGATTTAGGCTTTGTTTATAACTGAAAAAAGTCTTGTATCTAAGTCCTTTTTAAGTTTGTTTAAGGTCATTTTGCTGTTAGGGGTGTGTAGCCCTCTTGCATGCTTTCTTTGGCTTTGTTTTAAGCCATATCTTGGAACCTCCGAGCTAGCCTTGGTTTGGCCTTCCTACCACTGAAATCCAGCGGATTTTTAGTGGTAAAGGTGTGGTTTTGAGGTCCTTAATCAGAGGGGGTGGCCCCCTCTTTTTTGGTTCCTCTTTGCTTGCATTTTTGGCCTTCCAAAGGACCATCCTTCTATGTATTTTTGAGGCTTGGTTCAGGCCTATTTTTGTGACTTTTAGGACTTTCCTTGGCCCTGTCCATGGCTGGTTTGGTCATATTTTGCATGCATATAGTATGTGTAGTGTAACTCCATCCATAGCTCATCAAAGTAGCATGTGTGCTTAGCTTGTGTTGAGTCCATTTCAGTGGATTTTTGGTGATGTTTTACCATGCCATGAACCTTTTTTGGGTTGGTTTTGTTACTCCATGCTTGCATGATACACTTGTAGTGTAAATCCCCTAAACTAGCTTCATATGCTCTATGCTTTGCCATGTCATGTTAGCTTGTTTGGTTTACATTTCAGCATGTCTTTGGTCATCATTTAGTATGTCATGACCCTATCCACAGTTGGTTTGATCATCCTTTGCATGCTCCATATAGGTGTAGAACAAATCTTGTTTACTAGCCTCTTGTGCATGATGTTTTGACTCATCATACTGGCATATTTTGGCTTTGTTCTAACATGATTTTATGCTTATTTTGGGCTGTCTTAGGACTGTTTTGGGCTGCCATGGCCATATCACTCATGCTTTGTATAGTTATAGTGTAAATGCTTAGGCTAGTCTTGGGTTTTGAGGCCCCTACCATGCCATACATGTGATGTTTGCATGCCTTGCCCTCATTCCACATGCTATTTCAGTCCATGAAATATTGTTGTTCACTCGCATTTGACATGCCTTGAATGCTTTGTATAGCTTGTGCTTTATGCCTCAAGAATGAGCTTTTGTGCATGCCATTAAGCCTAAGCCTTTGGAATGAAAGAGTGAAGCAAAGAGCGAGGTTGCAAAGTTTATAGTGCTGAAAATAGATGATAAAAGGCACTAAAACATGTAATCAACTCAAACCAATGGCGTTTAAAGCCTCAAAACACCAAGCTAGTGCATAGACTTACACCACAACTATGCAAAACAAGACTCAAAAGGCACCAAACAGCCAAAACAGAGCTAAAGCAGTCTATTTCAGAGGCAAAAATATGCTGGACTTGAGTTCAGTTAAGCTAGAAAAAAGCTTTGAGCTTAGTTTTGGTCTTGTTTGGACCTACCCTAGGACTGTTTTAGGTCCCCTCGGCCCCTTGGGGCTTGCCTTGTATGGCCGTGGCTTAAGTCCCTTTGCTTACCTTGAGCTTTGAGCATCATGACATGCTATGCTTGCATGGTTGATTTGATTTGGCATCACTTTACATGAAATTTCAGAGCTTACCTCATTATCTTACATCCGTGATTGTTGCTCCTTAAGTGTGCTTAAGAGTTGTCCTCTTTGTGCCTTAATACTTGAGCCACTTAGCATGCATGCTTGCCTTGCCATTTCATGCTTTTCATGCCATCAATTCATCACTTATGGCTACTGATTTGGACCTATTTGAGAGCTATCCATCTTTGGTGTAAGCCCATCTTACCAAGTTGTCACATGCTTGTTTCATCTTGTATGTTGTTGCATACTTGTCCACCTTTGAGTGCCTAGCATGTTTGCATATCCATGTTGCATTTTGCCATGTTGTTCAAGGTTGTCACCTCACATCATGCCTATGTGCTTGTTGCATGTCATTAGCCTTGTTAGGTTATTTACATTGCATGTTTGCCATCCTTACGCGTTGCATTGTTTGGATTAAGTGTTAATCCGAACATGAGGAACGAGGGGCGTTTCATACTCCGAGTGATGGAACGCGTCTCAATTCCCAGTCGCCAAAGCTCTTGATGATTCATGATAGAGTTCTAGGCTTTACTTGCTTTATTTGTGCATTCATTTTCATATTGATTTGCACAAGTTGGATCTTTAGCCATCATACATCAGGATGCGTGATTGATGGTCGTGGATCCGACTAGGCCTCTCCCTTGATGTTTTGAGGAGATATGGGGTGGCATAGTGCGTACATACCCTTGGGAGACCATCCATTTCCTCTATTTTGTGCTCTATTGCAGCTTGGTGTCACAGCACACCAGTGGCCGGCACCCTCTCATTGTTGGCCAGCACCTCTTCATCTGTGGCCAACAGTGTGCATCCTTTGTCAGCAAGAGGGTCGGCAACAACCATTCATGGCCGGTAGGCCACTGGTGCACTCCTCAGCATTGTTTTGGTAAGATCCAGCAGCAAGTTCTTGAAGACACCTTGCAAACAGAGTCTCAAGAGAGCAACCGGAAGGTGTTTCGAGGCGAGAAACCGAGTGCGAGCATGCATCCTTTTCTTCTTCAAACAGAGCTGGAGCAGCTTGGTTTAAATGTTTACTTGTTAGTTAGCACTTGTTGTTTGTAACTTAATTATTTTGTTAATTAGTTAAAGTGTTGTAATAATTAGCTGTAGCTAGTTATTCAATTTGGTTGTGTAATAATTAGTCTAATTAGATTATTAGATTAGTTGATTAGCTTAGCATAGCTAGCTGAGCATATTCATTCGGACCCTTTGTCGCAAGGACGAATTTTGTAATAAGTGTGCGCGCGTGTGTGAATGTCTTCCAACCCCACGTCTTTCTCCCTTTTACTTAACCGCTTTTGATGGTTAGTTTTAGGGCATGTTTCAATTAGCATACTTATGCTTCGCATATTTGCATTCATTCATTTGTCTTGCATGCACCAGGCTCGGCGTATCATACAAGCTGCATTGTATTTCAATACATTTACTTGAATACGTGTTCAACAACATGTTATCAAGTTGCATCTTATATGCCATTTTAGAATAGCCGAGCCTATTTTTAGTTGCCTTTTGCATGTGTTGCATTAGCCATCTTAACATGAGCTAGGATCATACATTGATTTTTAACTAGCTTTTGTTTTGGCTCGGAGTACACTGTAAGCTTTTATGCTTTAGCATCTTGCATGTCTGTAAATGTTGCCATGACAGTATGCTTGCCATGAGGCTAATTGCTTAAGTGTTTAAATGCATGAATGTCTGTGGATGAAGGTTGGATTGCTTGAATTGGAACAATTCATCAAATACGAGTTTTAAGCCCACTTGAAGTGGCAAAATCATGTTTTCCTAAGCCCACTTGAGGGTGGCAAACCCACGTCTTAACCTACTTGCAAGTAGCACCTTCAAACCATTTTCAAACAAACATGAGAT